ACTTTAGTTAGTTGTGTTGAATTTTGCGACATGACTTTTGGTACGTTTGTCCAATTTCCGCCGGAATTTCGTCAATAATAAAGAATATCGAAATTCCGGTTTACTGATGAGTCATTACTGAATGAAGCGAGAATATCGGTAAAACTCTATATTTTCAACAATCTTTTTATTGTCATAAGTCTAACGGAAATTGAATCAATTGTCAAAATTCAGACGGCGAAATTCCTGTTTATTCTTTACTTTCTATGACGTAGACTATATAAATTGAAATATTAGTATGTGTCATTAGGAAAATAATTCAATGCAAAATAAATGTCATTCATGGTTTCAAACACATAATTATATAAGAATTGGAGATATGTAACACGAAAACAAATAGTTAGGTCTCATTTCATATATTCTTCAGACGAAAATAAAACACCTTTCATTAAAAGAATGAATTTTGATAACAAAATTAAGAACTAATAACACTAATATCATAAAACATTTGTATTTTGATTAGATAAATAATGATCGTAATTTTTATGGTTTTTCTCAGGTCTTAGCGGCCAGAGACGACAGAAGAAAAGCCAAAACTTACTGGACACGTTTTCCTCGGAGCAAAAAAAACAGTGCGTCAGTAATAACAGCATTTAGACGACTCTGAAGGTTCTTAAAATGTTCTAAAATACTCTATAAATCTAAGATTTTTATTGTAGGTTCTAACTAATGTTCACACTCAGAATTAAAGAATAGTATGTGTAAGCTCAATAGTTCAACAACATCAATTACTAATGACCTACGGCTTTCAGCGATCAGAAGAGAAGAACTTCGAACGTCTTCTAACAATGAATTCTGATAGAGAAACTTCAAATGTATGATTATGTCTTCACATTTCAATGTTAGATAATCATAATCATGTAGATAATCAGTGAAATTCTATAAATTCTGTTGGTTTTTGGCAAATTTTTGACTTTCTATCAAAATTTTCTTGTAACGAAACATCGTTCTCATGTATACTCTTGAATTGTTTGCGAATACGATAGGTTTTAAAATAATTGTATCTTACACAGTATCAGACAAAAAGAGTTGAGAGATTTTCTCTTTCGATTGGTGAAACTTGTAGGTCATTAGTTATTACCGTTGTTCAATTATTGAGATTATCGCTACATCTCTTTAATTCTGACTCAGACATAAATCTAAATATTAATGGTTTTGGTGTGTAATACAGTGAAAGGATCTTATTGTAGGTGTCAGACAGGAGGGTGATGGTATTATTAATTTAGCAGAGTCAGAATAGGACGGACACAGAGAAGTATGAACTGCTTCAGTTCGAAATGTTAAGCAAAAATCGCAAGAGTATATGTCACAGTGTGTTGAGAGGAAAGATAATGTACTCGAAAGCTTACTGAACGATTAAATTTATGCTTATCACACACGTTACTATGGTGGTTGAACTGGCGAAACGACGAATAAAATGAGATTTACCACTTCCTATAGTACATATTGATTATATTATCATTAGTAGAAAAGAAGTATAAAATGAATCCAATAAATTGGTAGAATAGAAACTCTCAATTCAAATATTTTCGAAATAATGATATTTCGTACATATCAATTATAAAAATTTTTATGTTGATTTACTAATTTATTTAGCATATTTAAAAAAAAAAATTATTTTAATCTATTTAACAACATACCATGAAATTATAACAGTCAGAAATTGTCTATTCTGCACTTTAGCTCTTCACTGAATGACACTGATAATTTTTTTTTTAATGTACACTTACATTTTTGACAAGTACAGTGCCTACGCTAAACAAATACTCCGTCGGTTATATAGAAAATGGAGTATCAACAAAAGATTTTTGTTTTTTTGTTTTGTAGCATATTTTTCAACAAATTCTTCCGGCTGATTTGTTAGTTTGACAAATATTTTCTAGCTTATAGAGTGAAATACTCTATAGAACGTGATGACCGTGCGTGTATCGTGTCATCATAGATTTATATCATTGTCATGAAATCTATTTTTTTAATTGTGTGAGACAAATTCGATCAAAAAGAAGACGGAAACAATTTCGTCTATGAATACTGAAGAAAAATAAATAGCGATAGAAATAAAGTATAGTTTGATTACTATTGTCTTGATAGCATTATAGGCATCACAATAAGTAATCTTGTTGACAATGCATACGATTTTATATAATTATGCTTAATGGAAGAATAACAAGCATCTAATGATATTTGTCAATAGCAGAAAAACTCCAAACATATATTGAATATAATCAAAAATAATGGCTAAATAATAGCGTGAACCTGACTGCTTTCCAATTAATATAAACAATCATTTAACGTTCAGTGTTATAATAACTTGATTCTATTAAAAAATCAAGGTGATTGTAAATAGATACATTTGAATGTAAAATGATCAATGGGTATCAAATAAACGATTACCGATCAATTATCAAATGGTTCTTTTGAAAGAATGTGAATACAATTCGATGACATGTATTTTTCAAGATATTCGAACTGATAAATATATAATATGATTATTTATGTTGAAAAGTCATGTCAACAAGAATAAATCATGCTGCAATAATCAATCTAAAACTGTTAGTCAATCGTGATTTGTCCGCCTAGACTTTTCTGATACTTAACTCTGTGAATATTTGAAAACACTTAGAAAAATATCAGTTTTCTGTTAAAATAAAGGTCTACACGGATTAATTAATAAGCATACTCAAGTTACCGATATCAGTCACATCGACTATTTTTGTTCATGAGAGAAAGCAAACAATTGATAAATTGCTTTTTAAATTTTAACGATACCAATTTGTAGAACTTGTTAAGTTATTAATTGATATAATGATCATTCAGACTAATAGTGCTCCTAAGAGTAAATTTCTGTTAATCCAAGTTTACATTAGCCTATATATGAATCGTAATAGAATAGAAAAAGCAAATAGAAGTGTAGCCCTTGGGATCGAATCCAAGTCACTTTACATGCAAATTACGCTAGACTATGTAATAATAGTATTAAAAGTTTATCATGTTTCTATGATAATATCTATTACTAAAGAATAATTTTAAATGTTTCTGATGCACCTAATCTGTATACATACCGTAATGATGTTTTTTTTTTTTATTTTTTTTTGTCTATTGACACCCGTAAAAAATGTTACTAAGAAAGTAGTATTATCTTATCGCGTATATACATTTCTATCTTCTTTTTTTGAGAAACAGATAAATATGTATATATACAAGAGGACAGAAAGAGAAAGAACTCAGCAGAAGATACTAGAGAAAAAGAAAAACTTATTAACAGATACAAGAGAGAATATACATGACCAATATATACACATAAAGAGAGAGAAAGAGAGAGGAAAATATATGCAACTCAAGGTACATAAGGAGTGTTCCTAAAGTTCTAAAACGACTTTAAAATTTGCCATTCTTGTATTCAACAATAGCAAACTGTTTTAAACTTTGGTAGATTATTGTATATGCTTAGTACTACATAATTACAAAATTTCAGATCTACAACTTTGACTATAGATCAGAATTTCTACTAGTATTATCATAGACTATGTTTTTAATTTTTCCTAAAATCTTGGTTAATATCTTGATACAATACAACTTTTCGAAATAAAAAGAAATCTACATCAAATTATAGATATGTCTGTATTTGATAACCATTCTGATCGATTACTAATATTAATCGTGCTGATATTTTATCTACTATTCATTGACATGAAGAAACACTAAATTTGTTATATTCCTTTTTAATGTCATTTTTCAATTGTCCAATATTACTGTTTCTAGCCTCTTAATTTCTTTAATGCACGGCAAACATTTTCTATAGGTCAAACACCAGCTAGATTTGAAGCACACTTTATTGATTCAATGCGATTGATAAAAACATTTTTGACGACATACAAAGCGATGAATATCCTTTATTTAGGATATTAATTATCCTGGAAAATGACATTAAAAAGGAATATAACAAATTTAGTGTTTTTTCATGTCAATGAATAGTAGATAAAATATCAGCACGATTACGATTACTAATCGATCAGAATGGTTATCAAATACACTCGCATCCATAACTTGATGTGGATTTCTTTTTACTTCGAAAAGTTGTTCTGCTTTAAAATACTTAAGTATTAATCAAGATTTTAGGCAAAAAATTGAAAAAAGTCTATGATAATGCTGTTACAAATTGTCATCCATAGTAAAAGTTATAAGCCTGAAACTTTGTAATTATGTAGTACCAAACATGTACAATAATCTGTTAAAGTTTCAAAGAGTTTGCTATTGTTGCATACGAGAATAACGAATTTTAAAATCATTTTAGAACGTTAGGAACGTTTCTTTCATAATTCAAACTTGTTCTAGAAGAAAAGTTGCGAAGAAAAAGTTTAACAGACAAATATAATACAAATAGAGGTGTTCATCGCATGCAAATTCATACAACTTTGCAAATTTCCTTACAAAATAAATTGCCACCACTACTTTGCTGCTGCAATAGCATTCTTAAAATGTTCTTCGCTCTGCTATCCCAATATTATTCGTAAAAATATCGTTACTATTGCAATAGTATTCTTAAAACATATCTCGCACTACTTCCACAACAGTATTCCTATAACAACTTCCGACTCGTTACTACAATGGTGTTCTTAGAAAATATAGCCGCATCGCTACCACGATAATAATCTAAAAACATCTCGTGCACCGCTGTTGCGATAGTGTTTTTTAAAAAATTTCCTGTGTCACTGTCATAATAGTCTACTAAAACCATTATCCGTTCTGTTGTTGCGATATTATTCTGAAAATATCATCCGCGATGGATATGTCTAAATGCTAATTGTCATCCAAAACGTTTTACGTTTATTTTTCTAATAACTTAATAATAAATAATCAAGATTATGTGAATAAAGGAATACAATAATAATCGAGATTGAATAAATTTTATTGAAAAAGAAAAAATTCTCGTTTGACGTATGCACGGATATGTGTTCTTTTTATTTGATATCAGTTGTTAGGAGTGAAGAACGTTTTTTATTGACTTGTACTCGAGAAAAAGCAGCAAGTGTTGTTATTTTGTTACTCAATCGTTTAAATGTCATAGGCATTCTTGTTGATGACAATAATTTTTGCGAAGGTGCTTTTAATGGTATCGCATTGGGTCTTAAATTAGGATCAAATAAATTTAAAATATGATGAACATTTGCTTTCGAATTTTCTCGTTTCAAAGCAAATTTTTCTGTTCTTGTAATATCTTGTGAATCTTCTAGTAATTGTAAAGTTTTAATACGTGGATATCGTCGTTTTAAATAGCTCAAAAGATGTCTCAAACTAGAATAAAAATATTCAAAATCATGCATTTCCATAATCGATAAACGTAACATATTTGATTCATTTTCAATAGCTTGTGGTAAAATAGTTTCAAAAAAATTCTTCTTATTATTATTATGTTGACTCATTTGAAATGAAGTTTCTTGTCGAGAATGAATAGTTTGATGAAGTTGAGCACGTAAACGTTTTGATTCAAGATTCGATAGAGGAGATTGTCGACTAAAAACAAAATAAAATTCTTCAATAATAATTACATATTGAAATTTTTTCAAGTAGTAAAATTATACTTATTTTGACATTGACTAATAAATTCTCTATTTTTCATATCGATTTCAATATAATCAAATATATTTTTAAATTGAATATGATCACGAACAAATGGTGATGCATCAGTTTCAGTTAATAAAGTCAAAACAAAATCATATCGTCCACAAAAAGCAGCTAGAAATAAATAATTCATTGATATTCTATTAAAAATTTATTATTTCTTCTCACCTAAAAGTAACGGTGTAAATCCATAATTATTTCTCTCGTCAATTTCAATAGAAAATTTATTATATTTTTCAATTAATTTATCAATTATATATGTATCATTTCCACCATATAAAATAGCATAATGAAGAATCGTATTACCTTGTTGATCTTTTGCATGAAGATTAATATCGAAAGTTGTTTCATTTAATAAAAATTGAAATAATTTATAACGTTGATATCGAAGAGTATACATAAGTACATTACAACCAAATTCATCATGTACATTTGGTGAATTAGAATAACGTGATGAAAGTAATGTACGCATTGTACGATATGCATAATTTTCATTTGGATGAGAACATAATTGAATTAATAATGGAATTGAATCTAGTTTTTTTGAAGAATATGTTGATAATGATGAATGAGTATTTTTTGAATTTCTACTAATCGACATGTGTCGATTTTGTTGATGAGTATATGCTGAATGACGTAGACATGGTAAATGTGAATTAATATCAACTAAGTTCATATTATTCACCTTTGACCTATATAAGTGTGAACATTTATATCTTGTTTAGATTTTTTATCTAATCATTTGAAGAATTAATGATAGGAATTTTTTCAATGAATTACCTTTGTTTAAAATATGAATATTGTTTGTTAATTGTTGCTTCTTTTTTGCTCATATAAAAAAAAAATGAAAATGTTTTCTTCTATTTGCTTGATTCAGATTCTTATCGATCAAAATTACTTTTGCATATACAGAAAAAAAAAAAGAGAGATTTTCAAGTGTTGATTAATTTTTTTAACATATCAATCTATTAATAATTCTTTTTATATCATAGAACATAAATAATAATGTGTACACAAAATCTATTTCTTTTCATTTATAGAAGTGACATATGAAAATAAAAATTGACTCATTCACAGTGAGAATTTTCGATTAAAGAAGCAAAAACTATAAAAATGATTTATGTAAATTATTGAATCTAATCGAATTTTTTATTATTTTTGTAAATCGTTTTATACACAGTTTACTTTATTTATAAAAATGAAAAAAAGACATGATGAAAACAACAAGTATTAAGAATAAGATGATTATGGCTTCTGGACGTCTAATATTTGTTTAATTCACCTTTCGAAATAATGTTTTTCATATAAAAATTTTGTTGCTACAACCAAAAGAAAAACATTTCTATTTACAATCAAATAAATCAAATATAATAATATATTGATTCATAATCAAAATATTCAATAAATTATGAAAAATATCATACTTCAACTTTTCAATGAAAAAAACAAAACAAACTCAATTCTATAATGATTATCTATTCAAAGGAGAAATCTATGAAATTCATCGAAATAAATCAATAAAAAATATCAAAAATCAGTATATCAAATTGAATGATATTATTATATAATCTCTTATTGATACTAGGAAAAAAAAAACATGTTAAGATCAAAGATGTCATATTTCGGTTAGAAAAACCTATCAATACAAATCCTCTGAGATTAAGATTTAAGACACGATCGAGTTGCTTCTATTGTAAACAAAAAGATTTTTGCCGATATATCGATCGAATAGTGCACTATTAAGTATTCTCAATCTAAGGTCGTAATGAAAAGATGTTAATTATGATGAACAAAGATTCACTATTTTCATAATGATAAAACAAAAACAAAAATAATCTTTAAAAAATATGAAATATTTCAATGAATATCGAAATATCAATTAAATTATTATCATATAAACGAAATTTATCTTTTAATTTATAACATAATCAATAGATTAATATGTAAAATCTTATTGAAATTCGTCACTAAAAATAATTTATTCAATAAAATAAAATAAATAAATATTTCATGATATTAAAATGAAAAAAGAATAAGTATTCAAAAACTATTTAACTTTATTAAGTATGTTTTGCTTCTTTTTTTTTTTAACAAAGAAAAAAACCAAATAAACACCTTGTTCGTCTCTAAGAGGTTCTTACAATAATTTTAACAACACACATGCACACGGCAAAAAGGCAAATTGATAAACAATAGAATGAGATTAGAACATTGGTATAGAGTAAAAACAATATATTTACATGAGACTCTCGAGTGAGAAATCAAAATCCCAATAAATGAAAACAAAACAAAACAATTTTCATTCTCAACCAATTATTTCAACATAGTTTGATGGAAGTAAACCTTGTTTGCCTGTTACTGGATGACGTCCTAACATCCAACCAGCATCAATATGCTCACAATCAATTATTGTATCACCTTCCATAAAACTTATTTCATCAGATTCAGCTGCTGTATATGTATAAAGTGCACGAACTTTCATCTAAATAATGAAAAAGAATTTCTTTTTTTTTTTAATTTCAAAAAATAAATAATTTACTAATGTTGTTTGTCCATCACCATGAGAATTAATTGCATCATGATGTGTATTATTTCCATTATTATTGTCAGATTTATACGTATTCATTTGATTTATTTCAATTTCTATATTAAATATATAGAAAAAAAATAAAATAAAATAAACAATTAATTAACTCACTGGTAGTTTGCAAAGCTTTTGAAGTTGGTTCATAACCACGTGATAACGAACCACGATTATCATTTATTGGATCATAATCCGCAACTATATACATTTCAAGAAAACTGTTAGCACAGTCCTTGCGGAATTACAATGTGAAACACGATGTAACTGCTCTTTCTAATTACAATAAAATTGCTTTATTCTCTCTATTTTCGGACATAATATTTTCATCATCTATTTAGTTTATCGTCGACAAATGCAATAAACAAATAGTTCATATATTATAACGAGACGTTATTAATATACAGTCTGTCACCGTATATCAACAACGTCTGTTATAATTTGTTGAGAATCCAAACTTTTATCTCTATACTTCAAAACTCCTTTTAGATTGTGTTTGACAAAATGTATGTGTTAGTTTAAAACTAAAACTTACCACGACCTACTCTTGGTTCTGATGAAGTATGTCCTCCACGATTAGAACCATTATTATTATGTTGATTAGCATCTTTAGAGAAAACAAAAACGAAAATATTTATTTTATTTAATCGAAAGATTTGTATATATAAATGTTAGATTTACCATGAGAAAGTATTTGTGATGAACTATCCTTTCGTTTGCCAGTATATTCAGCTTGACTAACATTACGTTGATGTTCTTTAGCTCGTGTTAATGCTGGATCATCAGCAACTACTGTAAATTTTCCTTTACTTTTATTAAAATCTTCATGATATTTCGCCTATAGTAATAAATACTTATTCAAGTTTATCATACTCAAAAAAAAAGAAGTAAAACCTTACATTGCTTTGAATATCTGTTAATAATCGAATCCGTTGCATTTCAGGGTTGTCAACAACAACTGTTGGTTTAGGTTGTGGATAATGTCTGAAAAAAGATTTTATTTTATAAGAAATACTAATTTAACTATTTGTTATACATACACATGACAATAAGGCATTTTTTCGTAACCTTTGACATTTTTCACATTAAGAGTCATTCCACATACTGTACATTTTAAACATCCTTTATGCCAAAACTAGAATTAAATAAATGAATATTTAAAAATAAAATATCAAATATAACAAAATAAGCATTAATAGCATGTGAAGAAAATCATGCATTGTTTTCTGTAATAAAGCAAAGTAAAATTTGTTTGGCAAAGAAAAAATTCGTAAATAAAGAGTTCACACATGATTTACCTTTTTGTCTAATCTCAAAATGAGCAAGTCAAATCAACAATAATAAAGAGTAGAAGAAAGAACTTACTTTGTCAAGACATTTGATTTCTTCGGTTGGATAAACAATTTTTTCACATTTACCACATTTTTTATTTTGTACAACTGACATGATATTTTGATTTATGCGATAATAAGAATGATCTAAAATATACATATGATAGAATTTTCTTTGTTACGTCAAATCAAAAATAGATAAAAGTAAATAAAAAAAAGAGATCGAATTGATTGATTGATTGATTTTTTTTTCTTTGCATCAATTATTGACCAATAAAAATTCATTGGTTTAAATTTTATATTTACATTCATAAATTTATTATAAAGTTTATTTATTCGATAAAATATTTGAATTTTTAATAAATATTCAATAAAATACATAAATAGCATGTAGCGCTTTCTAATAATTGAATAATAAACTGACCAATGATTATATCTCTTACCAAAAAAATGAAATTTTTTTTTTTTACAATTATAAATTTTTTAAATTGATATTTCTCATCTGCATATTTTTGAATTTATGTTAGTCAATTCATTTCTTGAATTTTCCATTGATTTTATTCTAATTTTGTTGAAAAATGTTGTGATAATAATTTAAATCGTACTCAGAAGTATCCCGAGGTTGTAAGAATTGGAAGGAAAGGTGGGGGAAGAATCTCGTTGTTCGATGATTTAGAAGGCCATTTTAATAGACTAGCAAAGAAAAATGAAAATTTTTCGAGATTTAGAAGGCAGGTCTTACCGCTCGAGACATCCATAAACATAATTATTTAATGCTTTGATTAGTAATAAGTGAAGAATTTCTTCGTTGTTTTAGATGTTTCTTTCAACGCCGTCTACATCATTTAATTTGACAAGTATTGAAAAGAAATTAGCAGCTATTGAATCAACATCTTCATCATCATATACAGTAAAACCAACAAATCGATTGACAAAAGTTAATAATGAAACGGAATTAGATGCATATTTAAAAAGTGAACGAGCAAATTTTAATGATGAACAATTTGAATATTTAACACAACAGGTAATAAACATATTATTATTTGATTATTTCTTAAACAAACATAAGTTCAAGTTGAGACATTTGATAACTTTGTTTAAAAGTGATGAGTTATGTGGAAGGAATGATTTATTTATGTTACATTGATAATACTTGACAATCTATCAACACATGTAGAATATATATTATCTTATCAATGAGTATTGTCATGAGTAATCATCGCCTATTATGTGAAAAATTTAATCATAATTATCTTTAAATTAAGTTCCTAGTATTATTTGAATGTCTTATCCCTTAATAACTTTTATCTGTTTCATATTTCTAAGTAACAGTCGTTGATTATTGTCAGTTACATTCGTATCTCTAGGAAATAGTTGTTAGAATGAAGAAAATCTCTCACTTCATTGGGTTCATTAATATATTTAGAAAAAAAAAACGCATTAAATTAAATGGAAATATAATATTATTAATATTAATTTTAGTCATTAACTCAAGCTGATACTGATTATTGGGAAGAAATATTTTCCAGTAGTTTAAAACGTCGTCGAAATTTAATTAATTGTCTATTAGCTGATGATCTTCGACCTCGTTCTATTTCTTCCTATGATTCAACATCTACAACTAAAGTTTGTTTGATTATCATATTTATTCGCTTTTTTTTTATTCATTATTTTTAATCAATAGATAAGTCAAACAATAAACGATTCTACCATATCTCCAACTGGTTATGATTTTCAATCAGTTAGTTTTTACGTTCTATATAT